CAAAACGCCCTCTCTGGTTAACTCTTTAAAAAATTAATTGCCAAAAATTACAGATTCTGCATAACCAATAAAATTCTCAGCTCCTCAGAGAATGGCATCTCACCAGACCGATCTTGCGAAACATGCCACATGTGTTTTCTAAACCTACTTATTTCTCGTCGTAATGATAATTCATCTGCGGTAGTTATCTATTCTGATCTTAGTAAAGCATTGGATAAAGTTCCTCATAGGAGGCTCCTAGCCAAACTAGAGACTGTAGGATTTCGCAGTCCTCTTACGGACTTTATCAGATCATATCTGTCTAATCGAAAACAAAAGGTCTTAGTTGGGTCTTCACACTCTACTGCTACCGCAATTTCGAGTGGTTTCCTTCAAGGTACCGTTCTAGGTCCTCTGTTGTTCTTGCTTTACATAAATGATATTTCATTGAGTGCTAAACACTCTCAATCTTATATTTATGCGGATGATCTTAAGTGTGTTTACTCCAGTCTAACTCTACGGCCGTGAGATGCTTAGAACAAATTTATTCAGATTTGAACGCTCTTTCTGCGTGGAGCTGAACATGGCAGATGGCGTTCTCACCTTTTAAGTGCCGATATATGTGCTTCGGGCCTAAAAGGCTGCCACAACATGTTATTTTTCAAGGTAACCCAATGACTGAATGTTCCAACATCAAGAACTTAGGGTTAAGCTACACCAATAAATTAGACCTCTCGCCGCACGCCGATAGAATCGCTACTAAGTCTGCACGTATTGGCGACTTTATTTCTTATATTTTCTATCCTCCTGAAATGAAATTAGGATCTTATTGTATGTTTGTGCTTCCCATCTTAGAATACTGTTGCCTATTCTTCAGTCTGATGAGCGAATTTAGCCGTTCAAACATTGAAAGCATCCAAAGACATTTCCCAAAAACTGCTTTATCCGACATTTTCTAATACTTCTTACTCAGATAGATGCCAATTAACGAAAGTAAAATTTCGTTGGGTCAGGAGTTTGGAAACAGGCTTTTGTCTCCTTTTTCGCCTTAATAATGGCACAAATTTCCCCAAGCTTTCTGTCATTACCCCGTTAGCCGTCCCTACAACCTAAGAAACTCTGAACTTGCCATACCTCCTCCTGCATTCTCCTCATCTAAACGCTCTTCGTTTATGGCTTCCATATTAAGTTTTCTCTGAAATAACTTGCCAATTGAAATTAGGTCGTTAACTAGACTGTCTCCTTTCAAACGAAGACTGCACATTTATCTTAACACAGATTCTGTTAATCTCTATTTTCCTCATCTTTTCCGAGCAGCTTTCTCCATGACTCAGATAAAGGACCATCGGAAATGTAGGAGATCCTCTTGAAACTGTTTTTCTCTGCGTCGTGTCCCCCGGGAACCTAGATGTCTCCATAAACCACCGGTCATTCAAAATATGGAAGACATATGGACGTACTCAGTCTGAACTGCTGCCGTTTCGTTGGCTACTAACCATCATCAGAATTCCTACTTCTAT